GCCGATGCCATCTAGCGGAGGCGTCGCGACGCACTAAATGCACATTTTTCGACGAGAAGGACGGAAATGCACGATTTTACAACGTTTAATAACAATTGGCGCCAATAACGCAATTAGTACACCGAACTGAATTTTTTTAGCTAAATCAAATTAGCCTTGATACAATAAACAAACACAAAAACCCCATTTCTTCAGTATTTCTCTTGGTTTTACACTTCTCGTTTTTTTTTTTTTAATTAAAAAAGTCTGAAATTAGTTATAATTAAAGTTAATTTAATTTATTTTAACTTGATTTCACTTGAAACGTACATATTACAGCTAGCCGAGGCAAAGCCGAGCCTAGTAATTAACTAGTATTATTACCAATTTTCAATTTTAATTAATTTGTGAGAAAAGTGTTATTAACGAGGGTTTTCAACGCTTCTATTAATTTAATTCTTAATTTTTTTTAAATTGATTTTTTAATTAATTTCATAAAAAAATATTGAAACGTTTTATTAGGTACATGAAAGGAAAATAAAGAACCAAATTTGATGTGCATAATTATAAATCAAGTTAGCTTTGATACAATAAACAAACACAAAAAACACAGCATTTTAATTTTTCTCGTTGATTTTATACATCTCGTTTTTTTTTAATTAAAAAAGTTCGAAATTAGTTATAATTAAAGTTAATTTATTTTATTTTAACTTGATTTCTTTTGCAACGTACATATTATAGCTGGCCGAGGCAAAGCCAAACCTAGTAATTAAGTAGTATTATTACCAATTTTTTTATTTTAATTTATTTGTGTGACAAAAGCATTATTTTCAAAGTTTCTATTAATTTAATATTCAATTTAATTTGTATTATGTACTTTAATTTAATTCTTAATTTTTCTTATTTTTGTAATCTCTTAAATCCATTTTTTTATTAATTTGATAAAAAATTATTGAAACGTTTTATTACGTGGAAGGAGGATAAAGAAACAAATATGATGTACATAATTATAGATCAAGCAAGCCTTGACACAATAAATAAACACGAAAACCACAGTTTTTTAGTTTTTTTTAACTTCACATTTCTCAAGACTAATTGTTTTTTTAAATTAAAAAGATTGAAATTAGTTATAATTAAAGATAATTTAATTTATTTTAATTTAATTTTACTTGTAACGTACTTATTAGAGCTAGCCGAGGCAAAGCCGAGTCTAGTAATTAAGTAATATTATTACCATTTTAATACCCACTTATTAATTAATTGAATAGTTAATTTATCTACTGTTTTTCTAAATTCTAATTAATTTGTGTAAGAAAAGTGTTATTAACGTGAGCTTTTAACGCTTCTATTAATTTACTTCTTAATTTTTCTTATTTTTCTAATTATATTTTATTGATTGAATTTCGAATTAATTTAATTTGATAAAAAATTGATAAATTGATAAAAACGCTTTGTTACATAGGAGGAGAATAAAAAATAAAAAAAGTGTTTCAATAATAATTAATTAATTAAATTTAATTTGATTTACTCTGGGCTGCGATAAAAAACTGTGCGGAATAAAAAAACAAACGATTTTGAAGATTTTATTCAGACGTCTTGTTAGTAAATTTACATCATCAGTGTCACAATTTTGAAGAAATTGCTAATTTAAATTAATTATTTTTTCCGTTGCTGCAATTCTTTGTTTACGCCATTTTTATGTTAATCTAAGTGTAACGTACGAAAAATCTTTCAACTGGAAGTTCACTTAACTGAATTATGTTAATTTAAGCTAATTATTTTTACAATTACACGCAATTTTCAATAAAAATCAGTTTTTTAAAGTACAATCGAGCTCATTAAAAATGTCGGTATAATATTTTTTTAAATTTGAACAAATGCTACCATTACATAAGAAGTTGTGACCTTACACACAAAGATATGTAAATTTATTCAAATGCATTTTTACAGACGTGCACAAAAAATGGTCGGATTAATTCCGAGCCATCTTAATTAATAAATTAGTGTTTTTACTTATGTTACGTAATTGAATACTTCACCGTTGAATTTGGTCACAAAAAAGTGGGGTGCGCACCCTCGTGGGCCGAACTAAAAAAAAATCGCACTCGGACTGGTGCATCTTAAAAATGGGGTGCGTGGAGGGGGTGTCGTAGTAGGGGTGTTGTGTGACTCATAAAAATGCGATGTTTCTCCTCGCAGACGTCGTCCACGACTGCCGTTCCATCCCTTAGATCGGCGCCGTGTCTTCCCCTCCCTTGTAGTGGGGATGGCTTTGAAAAAATAAGGAGCGCTTTTTTTCGAGGGGGCGAGATCGTGGAGGGGGCGACTCCGTCGGATGACTCCTTATACTTGCCGAGGGGTGCGCCTGCGCCACCTAAGATACAATTCTAAGGTTCGTCCATCTCGCTCTCGCACGTTTTTCTTGCATATATTTATTCCAGTCGCAACCCTTGCTCGCGTTTTTGCTCTCTCTTGCGCACGTTGGTCTTGCCTCTGGTCGTCTCGCTTGTTCCTTGTCCGTATTTATGCTCCGTCCTTGTTTCGACCGCAAATCTTGGATCTCGCCGTCTCGCTCTTTGAGATTCTACCCTTATTTTCTTAGTTTGAAGGCGTCGTTTTCAGACGCTGGTCGTCTTTTCGCGACGCCGTTCATTTTCTTAGTTATCTACTGACTTTCTTATCGTTTGGACGCGTCGGGACGCTCGGATAGCTCGCGACTTAACTTCGTGCTAAGTTTCGAATTTTTTTTACACTTTCAATTTGACTCACGATCAGCCGGCTTTGATTCGAGTGCGGTTTTTCCCCCAGAGAAAATTCGGTTTTTCGACGGGTTTTGTGCAACAGGCCTACTTTGATGCTACGGTGTTTACCTGATTTATGTGCAATATTTTTATAACTGTAAGTAAAATTTTTCGAAAATTTTTTCAATATTACCTACTCAGCGACGGAGAACTTAGCCGCCGGCAAAATTTTCAATACGCAACAAAAATTTCTTATCACCGGCCTTGACCTATCAATGAAAATAAATGGGATTAACATAAAATATGTTAGGTGTAATTAGTAGCAAATATTTTCATTAATAAACTTATCACTCGCCAGTTCCGGACCTATTTTTACGACGCATAAAAATTGCAAAAACAAAATTATACGAGGTGTCCGAATTAAATTACGTTTCTTTCTCACAGAAATTATTTCGTTACCACTTTACCTGTCGGCACTGTTTGACTTACATTTCCGGTTCTACCAGATGTACCATTTTTTTTGCTCACACACTGTATACATTGAGGATTATTTCTGAAGCAAAAAATACCCCAAAGAATTTAAATAATTCATTTCCGGGTAAATCAAGTTGGCTTGTTATTAAAATTGGACAGTTTGAAGCTCGAATCTTATTTAATTAATCTCTGAATTCTTTAAAGTTTCGCTTTAAAGTGACGAATTTTTTCGTAAGACTAGTTTACTTGGTATTTTTGTAAAACGCGACTTACATTTTCAAAGTTGTTCTTTCTTTTATTTTTTAGAATTTTTTTTTATTTAAGTTTCGATCAAAGTTGTTATTTTTTGTCAAAATTTGCGAAAAGAAGAAAAATATCCTGAAAGCAAAAATGATCATTTAATTCATAAATTAATTGAAATTACAGTAAGTTTTTAACGTCGAATTATGTAAAATTTGATAGATCTCAGTTTCAAAAAGTATTTTATAAATACAGGGCGTTCTAATTAAATTTTTAGGCAAATTATTTGTTAGTCTTTTAATTAAAATAAAATTATTTGTGTTGAAATAGAATCAACCGGGTGTTTTAATTAATTTTTTGGCAAAAGTTGTCGAAATAGCAAGCATTGCAGAACAGGCCGGTTAATGTAAAATTTACTTAAACAAATTACGAGGTTTTATAAGATATTGAAGTAGCATACAGAGTGTTTAAATTAATTTTTATGCAAATGATTTATCAAAAAATGTACCTATGAATCTGAGCGATTTTTTGCAAACAAATCAAAACATTGATTCACTTTTATCTACGTTTACGAAAACGTGTTTTTACATACAGTGTGAGTGATAAAAATATCGAAAAGTCGTAATTGTCCCGGTTGTAACCTAAAGATAAAATAAATTAATTATTCCAAAAAACAATAGATAATCGAATTAAATTGTGATTTATTGATAATAAAACTTCTTTAATTAATTATGCAATTGTAATTGAAATTATTACCTAACTTCAAATCGTGTAAAAATCTATAAATTTATAAGTCTGTAAGAGTGTTTAAATTACAATTTTTAGTGCAAAATGGTTTATTATTTGTAAATTAATTTAAGATATTTGTGTTGAAGTATAATATACAGGGTGTTTTTTGCAACAAACATTACTGACGTCAAATTGCAAAGTATAAAAATCGATTGCAATTAATTGAGGGCATATACAGGGTGTCACAACCTAAAATGACCCGAATCATTTATCAAGAGTCAATATTTGATTGAAAAAAAATTTAATAAATTGCAATTATTATGTTTGTTGTAAAAAAATTAAATAACAGATAATCAGATTAAAATGTAATTTATTCATAAAAATAATTGAAATAAATTAAATCGTTATTTATTGGTTAAGAATAGAAAAGCAACCCGAGGCGCAGCCGAGGGGTACAATTATTCTAGAATACTAGATATTTATAATTATTTAGTGAAACATTTAACGGTTTTTTGCTACTTGACATAACACAAAATAAATCATTAACAGTTTAACATTTTATACAGGTTAAAAATTTTTAACTCAAAAATATGATTTTTTTGAATTAATAGTCAATGAACTAAATCGTTGTTTACTAGTTAAAAATAAAAACATCAGCCCGAGGCGAAGCCGAGGTCTGTAATTACCGCAGCATTTATATTTTTACAGTTATTTAATAAAATATTTAACGGTTATAGACACATATACAGGGTGTTTGCATTTTTTTATTATAATTGCACACTTTTTAGTAATTGTTAAACTGTATGATTTAATTAATTTTGGTTGGGATGATTTCAGATTGGAATTGAGTAAAGCTATCGGTACCAATCCGAAAGACCCCATTTACTCGTCGTTGAAGAATATAACCCTCATTACCACGACGCCGACTCACCCACCGTACCAGCGACTCGACTATACTACCACCACATTCACCCTTTATCCCATCATCGGTACTATAGTTTTAGTGCCGTTCGAGGCTTTGGTGCGTTTTCTTCCGGCGTCGCCATCTCTCGCCACGCTCGTCCCTCACGGGCCGTATTCTCGCCTTTTCCCGTCCAGCCGTCAACATTTTCAACACGGAGGACCAAAATCTAATCAACAATCTCAAGGTCGAACATGAAAACCTCGTAGCGAAGTGGCTGCAGAACTCATTCAAGGCCCAGGAGAACGCCGCGCTGGACCTCCGGTCGACGCCGCTGTCTCTGCAGATACCGATGGCCGAGGTCAACAACAGGCCCGTATTCAAGATGAACAACGATTTTTGGAACCAGGCTCGAGGGCCGCCCCAAAGCATGGCCCAGAACCTCTCCAACTCGAACCAGAACTCGCCGGTGCCGCCGGCCTCAACCAACTCCATTCCGGCCCATTCACCATCGCAGCAGAGCAACAGCAGCCAAAACCACGTCATTACACCCATACAACAACAACAACAGCAACAAAACCAACAACAACAGCAACAACAACAACAAAACTCGGTACCGCAACAGCAACAACAAAACAACGGCCAGCAGCAAAATCAACAACAACCAAACCAACAACAACAACAACAACAACAACAACAACAACCTCAACTGGGCAGTCCCAATTCGCAAGTTGCACAAGCCCATGCTCATGCTCTGGCTCAAGTCCAGGCCCAACAACAGTTGGTGCATATGTCACAACAACACCAACTTAATACTGGACAAAATTCGCCGGATAAAATGGCCGAAAAATTGGTCAATGATTTACAGGTAGGTGTTGTCCGATTTTTTGCATGTTTTTTGAACGATTTTACACGAAAATTGAGAAATAATTGGAGTTTTAGAGAAGGCGGGACGACCGGAGGACACTTGATTAGAGAGAGAAAACTGTGCGATTGGTTGCGACAAAATGGGTGGGGACATATTACATTAATTATAATCAAAATTAATAAAAATTGCGTTATAACCACATTCATATTGAAAATTTGATTACCTACAATTAGTTAAATTCGAGATCTCACAAGACTGAAACAAATATAATTACAATAAACGTAATTAAAACAATTAAAACTATAAGCTTAAACAATCAAAAATCAAGCGATTCAATTGAAATTTGAATAAAATTTATTAAATTGAGGCAATTGTATAGAACCGAATCATTAATTACTTAAAATTTTGATGATTCCATTCATATAATTACTTGAAATTAATTATATTAGTAGTGTAGTATTTATAATGAATTAAAATTATTTTG